TCAGTGTGAGTGCTTCCCACAGGCTACAATTCTTCATGAACTGCTGCAGCTTGGGTTCCTTCCACGGGGTACATCCTTCAGGAACAGACTGCTCCAGCATGGGTCTCTTCCATAGAAACACAAGTCCTGCCACCAAACCTGCTCCAGCATGGGCTCCTCTCTTCACAGGACCACAGGTACTACTAGGAGCCTGCTCCAGCACAGGCTTCTCATAGGGTCACAGCCTCCTTCGGGCATCCCCCTGCTCCTGTGTGGGACTGTGGGTGGATATCTGCTCCACCATGGACCTCTATGGGCTGCAGAGCACAGCCTGCCTCACCATGGTCTGCACCACAGGCTGCAGGGGAATGTCTGCTCTGGCTCTTGAAGCACCTCCCACTCCTTGCTCACTGACCTTGGTGTCTGGAGAGCTGTTGCTCTCACATATTCTCACTCCTGTCTTCCAGCTGCTGTTGTCTAGCAGTTTTTTAATCCTTCTTACATATGTGACCATAGAGGCACTACCACCATTGCTGATTGACATAGCCTTGGCCAGCAGCAGGTCCATCATGGTCTGGCATTCTTCCAGTAGAGGAATCTCCTAGCACCTTCTCACAGAAGCCCTGTGCTTCCCCTGCAGCACCCCTGCTGCCAAAACCTTGCCACACAAACCAAATACACCCATGAAGTCAGCGGTAAAAGTGATTGTTTCCTCTCAGCTCACGTCTGTAAGCTTTTAGTCACTGAACTCCCTTTTCTATTGATTTGTGAATCACTGGAAATTTGCAAGTATAATCCAAATGAAATGAAAATGCAACCTTCACTGCAGCATGACCTCTTGAAGGATACAGATACAGTTTTGCAAGCTGCAGGCTATCAGGATTAACGTTGTCTTGTGGACATTTAATGGCCTTGTACATATCCATCAGAGTGAAGTCTTGTGTCAACATCTATTCTCTTTCCTTGCTTCATTCAGCTAAGAGGATGGACAGTGATTTGCGGGTAAGCTGAGTTGCAGCTGATGTGAATAGAATTTGTGCTTTCTTACATATATGAAAATCTGGTACCATTTATCTTAATGGTGCATTCTAAATTAACAGATGTGTCTGACTTTTAGCTCTTGTCTTTAGTATCCATGCAGCTATTAAGTGCAATTAATAACTCTTCATCTGATAGCGGTGGTGTGAAGATAAATCAACCAAATTGTGTACTGCACTTGGATGTGTAAGGGGAAGATTAGAAATCTGACCTGGGGTTTAGAGAGAAGATGGATCTGAACTCTTCGCAGAGGTGCACAGCTAAAGGATAAGAGGTGATAGTTATGAAATGCACAGGAACAACTTTGACTGGATATAAAGAAAAGATGGGGAAAAAACACACAGCAAAAGAGACTGACACTGAAAAAGCCCCTCTCCCCCTCCCACAGGTGCCTGTGGAAGCTCCGTTCTTCGCAGTTTTCAAAACTGGACTGAACAAAAGCCTGAGTAACCTGATCTAATGTTGAAGTTGGCTCTGAGTAGATGGTTGGACTAGATACCTCCAAAGGCTTCTTCCAATGAAACTGATCTCCTGGACTGTGTTAGGAGTATGGAGAAAGTACAGGTCTGTAAGTACTGTGACTAACAGTCACTGGCTATGTTCAAAAGCTCCTTGGGATCTACAGTCTGTGATGAATGTAGAACAACAGAATTTGCTGAGAAATAATGAGATTTTGAAATCTGATATGATGAAAGAATCTAGGAATCCACCTTTATGGAGGGAAACTTGTTACCACTAGTATGAAATCAGCAGCCTGGAAAGAGTTGTGAGAGGTCTTTTACTGACTGTGCTGGCAGCTCCCAGAAGCCAGTGTTAACCAAGGAGCCTGTACCATGTAGATGAACAGTAGAAGGTTGCCTAAACCTGAGAACCACTTGGAATTGTAGCACCAGCTTTCCTCAAGCCGCTATTAGCAATGACTTGACTCAGCCTAGTCACTGAGTCTCTCTGTGTGTTGTTTTGCATAGCTGTACATGAAGAAAAACATAACTCAAAAGCAATAGTAATCTGTATCTCCCCACCCAAAGGTGTTGCAAGATTTAATGGCCTGAAAAGCTCTTCAAGAAACTGCTGGAGTGTTGCAAGTTCTGAAATCTCAACTTTGATTTGAAAGCTAAAGACAACCCAGAGATTACTTTGCTAGAGCTTTTCTTCCCTAGCAGCTATGATGGTCTCAGACTCCAACAGATAAAATACTAGGAGGGAAGAACATGCTGGAGATGAAAATATTGCTGATCTTGACACTCTTTTGAACAAAACTTATTAAGAAAATTACTTCTGCTTGCTCCCCACTTCTGCATGCAAGCCACCTTCAGAAAAAGCTTCCAAGAAAGGTCCTTATCACCAGCAGTAGTTTTAAGTGTACATTATTGAAAGGACAGATGATTTCTCCAGAACGTGGCTAATTTAGTTCTGCACTTGTATGTGCCAATAAAAGTGGTATCCAGACAATTACTTTCTTTTCCTTTCACTAGGAGAATTACGCAAGTATCGCAGGGGTGAAAAGATCACAGGTATAACAGGAAAACAATAAAAATGAAGACTTTGCCCACCTTCAAATCTGGTTTTGTTTGAGTAGCTGGGCAGTAAAAGCCAACTCCCTGACTACAAAGGGCTGGAAGAAGCCAAGTTTGCTCCACTGAGCTCATCCCTTCTCCTGCAGCAGCCCTGGAGGGGAGCAAGGACACTGCCTTCAGAGCAACATCCTGCCTCACAGCACTGGAAGCCTTTTCTTCATTGCTATCTCATCTGTGCAAGACCTATGCCCCTCAGCTGGTACAAGCTGCTGTAGGTGCTGTGTGGTGGTGTAAATAGAAGCAGAACACTTGTTAAATAACAATTAAGTCTGCTTGAAGCAACACTTTCCCAGCGTTGGCCACAGCTGTGGGTCTAGCTGCAAATGTGCTGTTATTGCTGGGAAAGAGGAGTGTGAGGATGTGAGTGTCTAAATCCGGCCGGGGATTTCCTGGGGGTTTGGGAGTGGGGAATTAGGGTGACTTCAGCCCACCTCCTTCTTTTGCTCTGGTTTCCTGTTTCCCTCTTGCAGTTCCAGTCCGTGCAGGTAATGCGCTTCGAGGCAGGTGCAGCTTGTTTTGAGCTGTGCTCCTGCAGGCAGGGTGCTGCTGCCTGGCTGGTTGCCGAAGTGGATTTTGGGTGGCAGAGAGGCACCGTGTGCTACTCTCTGGGTGCAGCACTGCGCTGCAGCCTCATTCCTGGACCCTAGAGCCAGCCGTGTGACAGGACTCGCAACCTAGTCATCATCCTCACGGTCCTGCATCCTTGACACGTCCCCTGCTCTGGCATAGAGCATCATAGATCAAAGACCTTGACTCACCTAGGGCAAGCAATGCTAGCGTGCCATCAGGCGCAGGAATTCTGTCTCCCGGCAGCTTGTCTGCATTTGCTTTAGTGGTTTGTTTCAGCCCGGATTCAGGAGGTTTCCTGCACGAGTGACCTGCGGGTGGCAGCAGCCGCTCGCGGGATCTTGGGTCGGGCTGTGCGGGGCAGCAGTGCCCGAGCCGGGCCGCGGGGAGCGCTGGTCGCTGGGTGGTGAGCGGCCCAGGGCAGCCCTCGGAGGTAAAGGGGACGCAGGATCCCCGTCACGTATCGGGGGAGCCTGTGAGCAGGAAGGCGGCGTTGCGATAAAGGAGCCTGGGCTGCAGCAAAAGGAGTGTGAGCAGCAAGGCGAGGGAGGTGATCCTCGCCCTCTATTCCTCTCCTGTGAGATGCCACTGCTTTCAGCTCTGGGGCCCCCAATAAAAGAGGGACGTGGAGCTGTTTCTGCGAGTACAGAGGAACCGGAGCACCTCTCCTGTGAAGACAGGCTGAGAGAACTGAGCTTGTTCAGCTTGGAGAGAAGACTCAGGATGGACCTTAAAGCAGCTTTCAGTACCTAAAGAGGGTCTACGAGAAGGCTGGAGAGGGACTTTTTACAATTTTTTTACAATTTGTAAATCAAAGCTGCAGCCAGCACCCGACTGTGGGTGTCTGACAGCCCAGGGAACTGGGCACAGGCACTATGGGTTAGGGCAGCAAAGGGATCTGGGCACCCAAGTGCTGCCCTGTGCTGCTATAAGCTCCTAAAAGCCCAGAGTCGTAAAACCACTCTGCAGCTGCAGGCTGAGCTGCAGAATATCTGAATACATTAAATGCCCGCCAGAACCAGTAGACACCCTGAGGGTAATCTCAGGTGGGTGTTTTGTTGCCAAAGACTTGCCACCAAGACTAGAAGCCTGGGAATGCCCTTGTGTGTTTCTCCTCATGCTGTAGACATTGGTGAACCCCAGCTGAGGTGCCCAGCTCTCTCCAGGTGCTACAGAGTGTCCCTGCTGCACACCTAATTCAGGGCTGTGGCTCCTGAACATAGCAGGGGGCCCTGAAAGGCTTGGTGCTGTAAGGCTGAGTTTCAGAGCACCTTTGTCTCTGCAAATGTGTTTGATGCTGGCATCCTTCTCCAAGACTTGCCTATGAGCCAAGAGGAAAAAGCAGAAATGACTGCATAAAACTGCTCTATTCTTTTCATTTTCAGGGCCAGTAGAAGACAGTAGAATCTTGTAAGTAATTTAAGGCAGAAAGCTTCTCTAACTTACAATGACTGTAATAGTTTAAAGAGGTTGCTTCATCAGAACCCCTTATAACCTTCAGACCTGCCCTCAGTGGTGGTTAAGAACATGGAAGGTCCCAACTCTATCCATTACCAAATTTGGTCACTGCATCATTCTATCAGGGTCCAGGACCTTGGTTTTTCTTTTGGGAGGGCCAGAATCCTGTGGGATTGAATTAATTCTTACTGCATTACAATTAGGCGATAAAATCCTGAGACCACACACACAAATTCTTCCAGGCTACACTTCTCTTGAAATCCTTGGGTAAGAACTGAGTAGGAGATGAGCAGTGCTTCAAGTTTGGCCCTTTGGTGTTTTTTTATCCAAATTACGGATGTGTTCAGAGCCAGTTAAGCCTGGCATTTTCCAGTTGCTTTTCCCTGATGCCTATGAGCATTGTACCTTAGGGTGCTCAGCTGCTTACGGAGCAGAGGACTGACCTGCTAAGGAGGGTATCTGAAACTACCGTGTCTTGCTCATTTTCTCTCTGCAGATATGACAGCTTCTACTTTACCCCCAGGTGCTCACTATGTGAATAGCATACATCCCACTAAGATGTATCTGTTGCAGCGCACAAACTAAACCTGGCTGGGTTGATTCCATTGTGGTGACATCTGAAGTGCATTTCTAAGAACCAAAGAAGCGCCATCTGAGAACGGCCATGGGGGAATGTCTGGTAAAATGTGGGGAAACATGTTTGCATCATTGTCCAGTAGAGTGGGTGCTGCTTCCATTTCATTCTGCAGAATGCTGGGCAAATAACTTCTGGCAACCAGAAATCCCTGTAGAGGCTGTTCATCACCAGCCAAAGCTCTTGCTGCTCTGCCTTGCCCAGACCCATGAGAACCTACTGAGCAGCCTGGAGATGGAACTGATGAGAGCTTGTGTTTCAACAAGTGCAGCTTTTAAACAGGCTCTGCCCATGGGGCTGATGCACAGACAGGTTTAATGACAAGTTAAAATCAATTACCCAATGTCCAGCCCCTGGCTGCTACCAGCAGTTGTCAGCAACAGGTCCTGTTTTGGGCTGGCTGAGGGTGGTTGTTCTGCCAGCTGGAATGACACAAAGTCCTTCTGAACCTGAGCAGTGAAGCTGGCCTGGAGACTCCCTCAAGCAGTGTGCAGGTGGGACCCAGTTGCTCCCTGGATGCCTCTTGGCAGGTTTTCTCCTGTGGGAGATGTGAGGAGTAGGGATGGGATAAAGAGGATGCTCCAACCCACAGTGCAGGCATCTACTGAGATCTGCAGCCCCGTGACACCTGGCTTGGCTGTGGGCGCTCCCTGGCTTTGACACTTCTCACCCCTGCGAAAGGTGGTGGCTGCTGGGCCACAGTCCTGGCTGCGTTTTGAACCCAGCAGGAGGTTTGGCTGCTCAAATGGCTGGAATCCATCTGGAATGCCCTGCAGAGGCAGCTCCTGCCTTTCCCAGACATAGGGTGCTGCCATATTCTGTACTGGGACATGTCAGCTCCACCTGAAATGCCCTGCAGGAGCTGTGTCTGGAGCCACTACAGGCTTCCACCAAGCCCTGCAAGACATCTGCAATGGGAACCCTTTCTCTCCAAATGGTGATCTGCACCTCTTAGAAGATGCACTCTGCATTACTGCAGTTTGGTCACTGGGTACGTACGGGAAAATAGTCAGGAAGCAAAAAGAACAGGAGCTGAGAAGGAGGATAATTACAGTGAGCAGGTGTTTCTCTTAGACTGTAACTGGGCTGCTGGGAATGATGCACTTTCAGTGCTGAGCTCCCCCGACACTCCCCAGTTCCTCATCTGGCCGTAGTCAGCAAGGGACTGCAGTTGGGTCAGGTGATGGGCAATCACCCTAAACCCCTGGGCATGGTGGAGTGGAAGGGTAATGGCTTGCTTTCAACTAGACAATATTCAAAGTCATTTCCCCCCCTTCTTCTAGCTCACCGCATGATTTACAAACCAGGAAACACACGGCCCTTTGTTCTTACGCTGTCTGATTTAGACAGTCGGTACGTGCTTTGCGGTGAACAGCGGTCGTCCTGGTGAGTTGTGCTGATAAGAAGCTCTGATCTTTGCACTGCCTTGGAGAGAAGGCAGCTATCTGCTGTCCTCCATCCCAGCACTGGGCGCTGCCTCAGTGCACAGTGACCATGGCAGTGGATGGGGATGCTGCCAGCCAGGGACTAGCCCAGTGCAGTGGCTTATTTGCTGCTGCTTTCTGACACCACACTGAATGCCCGTGAGAGCCCCAGTGTCTTCCCACCAACACCTCAACATTTCCACCTGACACTGCTGTGAGGGGTCAGGCTTGGGCAAAAACCACTTCAGTGATGGTTCGTCAGGTCATCACTAAAGGGTCTCTTTGTCCTTTAGGAGGGGAGCCACACATTTGTGGCATAGGAACGTGTGTGAGAGGAGGCCTGCAGAGAAGGTGGTGGTGTGGTTACTGATGTGACATGCTGCTTAGAGGGGGAAAGTCTGATGTGGAGTCATCCCCAATGTCTTGAGTGGGTAATGCAGTGCTGCCTGGAGGGAGGAGTACCAGCACTTCTGAGATCACTTTGACATCCTTCTTAATACCAGGGGGTTTCAGTGGCAACAAAATGCACTTTTATGTTGAAATGCAGAACTAAACGCCCCAAATTTCGTGAGGTAAAAAGGTTCTTTGCAAGCATTAGAACAGAAACATACATTGATAATCACTGGTAACTTTGGCACGGACTCTTGAGACACCTCTCTGTGCTCTCTGGGCTAACAGAATTAATCTGCAGCTGTTGCGGTTGACCCAGCCCATCAAGTCCACCTTCACGCTCCAGTATGTGATGTCAGGCAGGGGCCTTAATCCCAAATGATCTGTCTTTGTGTATATCCTTGTTTCCTGGCAATCCACTGGTTATAAACACTCCTCGGGTTTCCCAGTAATGTAGCATGTTGAAGATTAATTAGTTATGGTACAAATTTCTGCTCCTCATGTTAATTAATTTCAGCAGAGGCACATTTGCTGACCTCCCGAGGCTGGTGGAGCACAGCAGGTGCTTACGCATGTTAATGTAAAGCAGTTACTGGAGGTAAATCAGCTGCGTTGATTGCAGAGTCCCCTGGTTTGTCTCAAGTGAATTATTTCAAGCTGAAGCCAGCTCCTTTTATCATGCTTCAGGATGGTTGGAGATGGCTCTGCTAGCTTTGCTTAGCTCAGATTTTGTAGCAAAAGATGCATCTTAAGAACACAAGGTGACAGACATACTGAAGTAACACTTTAAAAACCTGTCAATGCCAGTGCAGGCGGAGGGATTTAATGGAATATTGCTGAAAGTGGTTTTAAGGGTGGGACGCCACATTGCACCCACCAGTGGATCTGAGAAGCTTCAGTGCTGGAGCCTCTAGTGTTATAATATGGAGATTGCTCTTGCACAGTGTATGTCAGAGTGTCAAAAACTTGAGAAAGTTATGAATGTCCCTGCATCCCACATGGGCATATCTCGGGTTGTTTACCAGCACTTGACACTTCACAAGCTCAGTGACACAAGTTCAGTGTTTTAGGTGCCTTCCAGAAAAGCATCAATTCTGTGCTCTGCAACTCCTTGTGATTTGCTGTAGCAGACACATTCGGAGCCAAGGTCTGACCAGGTGGCTTCATCAGCCTTTTGGGAGAGCTGAAGAGTTGCTAATTGTAACTCCATAGTTTGGCATCGGGCCTTCTCTTCCTGCCTGCTGTGACTAGCCTGTGTGCTGGTCATGCTGTCAATTCAGCCACTGATGGCATCTCAGAGAAAGCCTTGAGGTAGGTGATGTTTCCTTTAAAGACTTCTGAGCTCATGAGAATGAGATAGCGCATTCCCATGTGGTTAAGTTATACGCTTACAAGTCCTGGCTAGAAGTGTTAGCAAAACAGCCTTTGGTTGCTAGGAGGTGCTGTGTGTGGATTAATTAATCAGGATGGTTGTGCCTTCTGTTTGCTATCATTGCTGATGTAAAAGAGAGGTTTCCAAAGCTGAAAGTTGTGATGGACTCTTGTTGGGCTGAGACCTTTACGTATAGAAACACACACTAAGACAGTTGTGGCAAATGTTAGTCATTACAAAATACTGCACAGAAAAAAGTCAGTCTAAACTGTGAGGCCCACAAGAGGCTCTGTCTGCTCTAAGCAGTTCGTCTGTCCATGTTGTTACATGCAGCAGCGACACAGAAACAGCCGGGACTCTGCTAGTACAAAATATTTTCCTCTTCCACTAAATGGGGAAAGAGGCTGTGAGATTTTTGGTCTGGTTTTGAAGCAACATGCTGAACTTTCTTAACACTCAAGTGAGAGATCTGGCTTGCCCCTTGCAAGAGCAAAGAATGCTACCACAGGCTCTAATTCCTTTACTGCAGTCAGATGAGCTGCCTGTATGATCATTTTCTGATGTATTTCCATCAGTATGGCTTAAGTTAATAGCTGGGGAAGTAGATGGGATAAAAGTAAGTCAGCAGGCAAAACAGCAAATCCATGAAGAGTATTGTAAAACCTAATGGTGCTTGCAGCAGTCTCTTCAACTAGACCATGATGTATGCCTGAAGCCCTAGACTGTGGTAGACACAAGGCAGTCTTGACTACACTCACACACAGAGGATTGAATCCACACAGCTTTTAAATGTTTTTAGACACTAAACTCATTGGACAAGCAAGCTTGTTGCTAGTTGGCTCCAAGCATCTGTTCCTTGGGAGGTACTATGCAAACAGAAGTATTTAGTTTCCCATCAACTGAAGTCAGGTGTTTCCTTGGCTCTTTGAAAAGAGTATAGGCAGAAGGCTGGCACGACGTTCAAATTCCCCAAAGTCCTTAGCTGGTGACATTGCATCATAAACAAGACAACTGCCCCCAGGGGTCACGTGTTCAATACACACTGAACTAGGAATAGGGGCCCTAATTCTGCATCCTATGGTTCTACCAGTCCTCAAGATTGATCCGTGTTAAGTGCTGTGTGAGGCTGGGATTCTGATTCTCCCACCAGCATCTTCTGGTGCCTGGGCAGTTCAGTGAGTGCAATCACAGCAGAATATCCAGGATCTGCAGGGGGTGTCAGGAAGGGAAAAGGTGGGATCCACAAACAAGTATGTGAGCTCTACTGGTGCAGTGTAGGGGGAAAATGGTGGACTAACCTTAGAGAACAAGCTGCAAATTCACACCAAAGCACTATGTGCTCACCCAAGAGGTATTTCTGTTTTGTCTCTCTTTCAGCCATGAAAAGAGGGGCCTGCACAGAAGATAAGGCAACCTTTTGTAATAGTGAGATCCTTACACCTTTCATCCATAGAGGAACTCTTTCTCCTGAAGGAATTCCACTCTGCATCTTCTTCTCAGGAGCATCCCTGAACCCATGGTTTATTGAAGAATTGCAGGTGGCAGGAATAATGGGCTGATAATATTCATGGAAACAGTCTAATATATAAAAGCAAGAATGTAATCTGGTGGTTAAAAGAATCAGTTTGGAGTGGTGGGCTTGAGCTTCACCACTGTGCTCTGTGTTAGTTCCCTGGGGTATATTGCAGCAGCAGCAGCAGCTCACTATGGTCCTGAGCCCCTTCCAGGGGAAGAGAGGAGCAAATACTGTGTCTCCAGTTCCTGCATGAGTGCTCTATCTACAAGGCTGCTATGAAAAACTTGTTGGATTCCATCCTCTAGCTATTTCAGGATGGAAATCACTACTGTTTGAGGTGGTTTTTTGATTGTCTTTTGGAAAACAGATTTTGCTGGATAGTCTAGAGATGTGCTGGGAATCCCTAAGGGACCAGCCGGGCTGTCACAACAGTAAGTAGTTTGTGAATCTCAGCAGAAGATTTATGATGATCTTGGCCATAGCAGTGGCACCCAAGGGCATGCACAGGGCAGAATTTTAAGTACCTGAGAATACTGCTCTCAGAAAAAAATCCTCTTTTCCTATGTCCTCTCAGGTGTATCACTGGGCTAGGAGGGGTTTGGTAGCTTGTTTTGCTAGTCACCCAAATTCCCCCTTGCATTGCAATTCAAGAGCTCATGAACACATTTTCACTCCCTTGTGTGCTAGAAATGAAGGTTGATTCAGTCATTGCCTTTTCTGTAGTCGCCTAATGTGTAGGTTATAAGTGCTAGGTGTGATTATAGTAACTTCCCTCTCTTATACGCTGCACACTTCCTTGCTAGCCTCAATGTAGAAGACCATCTGCCCAAAGCTGAGAGGCAGAAGGCTGGTCAGTTTTGTCTCCTTTGGGTGATAGGATGTTTCCTTCTGGGAGTTTGATCTCAAACACTGCAGCATCATTGCCCCAGTTGCTGCTATCACTGCTCTGCAGCACTGGAGTATCAGAGCGCTGCTCATGTAAGCTGTTTTGCAGCCTGCAGCGACAACTATCTGCAATTTATGATGAACAGGATTACTGAAATACTGCGAGACAGCAGCCAAAGGACTTGCCATACAGGCAGTGGAGCTGTGGTAAATCAGGCTGTGGAGTTACCCGTGCACTTCCAGAAAAGGAAGGCTACGCAGCTGCAGGAATAACACATTGCCCCACTGGTGCTGGAACCTGTCTTTGGCAAAAGGTTTGCATAAAGGAGTTGTGACTGTGCAAGCCTACACTCCATAACTGCAGTTACCTACACCTACTGGGCTTTTTGTCTCAGGCTCACCTCTGTAATTAGATGAAGTGATAACCAAGTGGCACGCCAGCACCTGTGGCACAGCTCCTGGGCTTGCAGAACCCGTACTGCTGCTGACTTCTATTAGTCACTCTCAACAGTGGCTATTAATGCAGCCAGGTACAAACTGGTTTTTACTTTGTTCCTCTTGGGTGAGTGATCCTGGCTGTGATTCTGCAAGTTGATTAGGTCCCTGCTGCTAAAATCAGTGGGGACAAGATATCTAAATGCTTTTCAGAATGTGAGACCTGTGGGACTGTTCTGCTTGAGCAATTCAAATTCATGGAAGGATCCCTATAAATATTTCATGGCCCCAAGGACAAACTATGTTGTGGCTGCAAAGCTAGGCACATATATGCCTCCAGAAGAATAAACACATTGCAGCAGCAATGAGAAACTCTGCTCTTAGCCTGTCAGTACTTACAGCTGGCATGCAGAAAGACAGAGTATAGTTAATGTTTTAGAAATAGGTTTTGCACCAATATAGGTTTTCAGTTTTCAATATGTCTTTTAAATGAAGCAGAAATTACATGCCTATCTGCCCCCAGATTTTCCTCATTAGCATTAATCAAGCACACTTGACTCGCTTACAGATGAATTTGATTAGGTTCATGTATACTCTTAGGAACCAAAAATAATGAATCACGACTTGAGCGTACGTGCTGCTGCAGCCAACATTGTTGCTTGGTATCTGCTGCAGCAGTGAACTAACAGATAATTCCTAGAACTGGGATCCAAACCATTGGCAACAGGAGATGCTAAATGGCACATATGACATAAAGAAAGCAGGACCACACAAAGTGGAAAAGCTATAAAGTGCACAGTTATTTAAATGACTGTATAGTTGGTTGAGATTCTTTATTTTCTGACACAGAAAGAGCTACAATGGAAAACTTCACCCTGTCTACATGCATACACAAATATTTTTGCATGTGTCCCAGCCTGTGTAGCTGTTAGATCTGTGAGCTCACTTACGCTTCTTGTTTTATAATGCCAACAGATTCTTCTGTTCATCGGCTTTCAGCACCGAAGGAAAAAGGTGTCTTCCAAGAACAACAGTAAAAAGCATTTGAGCTGTACATTGAGCATGTACAGCGGTGTAGCTCTGTGCAAATCATGTTTTATGCACTCGCCACTGCAAGTGTAAATATACGCAAAGCCTACGTGCACAAGCACCCCTTGAGAAGCCGGCAGGGGATGTATCATTGCACTGCCTGTAGAATTGTTTGTTGATAAGAAGAAAAATGCAGAACAGAGAAGTGTTTCTGTTTTGACAGTTTATTGATATTCCACATAAATTACTCTGACCTTCTCTCATCCTCTTTTTTGTTTTTGGTTTTTTTTTTCAGAGAGTTTTATTGTGTGGTAATTCTTATGCACACCCATCTCACCAGCGAGGTCCCTGAGGACTGCCAATGTGATAAAAAGATGCAAGACTATATGTATTATCTCTTATTCCTGCTAACACAACAACCACCTGGGCCTTTGACAGACCTGAAATCTACTGCATTGTTTACCTAAGTGACAGAAAATGCCTTTAAGAGGAGAAGTAGGCATATGAAAAGGGAATAATACATAAAGAAACATCTGCACTGAGGTCATTTGTCACTTTTGGAAAGGTCTTTGAAAACAGTACATACATTTGGTATAGCGTAATGCTCATGACACTATGGGTCTTCTATTCACTCACAGGCCTTATCTGGCATGTATCAAGCTTTTATGATGTTTGTAGGATCCGTGCTGCATGCACAGGCTGCAGGGTCCTCCCTGACCCTGCCCAGTTCTTGCACTGTCTTAGGAAGCACTGCCCTCCCTGCTATGCAATGCTTACTTTGGAGCAGGTGCTTTGTACGTTAGCTTTTTGCTTTTCTCTTTTGCCATTTCCCCCATTTGCCAAACAAATCCCTGGGGCATCCTGTGCCATCTCTGCTTGGCAGTCTCTGAGCTGTTGCTGCAGACTTGGCTGAGGGGTGACTTTGCCCCAAGCCTCCACCCTCCATCACAAGGACTTCCCATGCCCTCAAATCCTCCAAAACACATTTAAGACCCACTTCTTCAGAAACAAAATCCACCTAAGCAAATGCAGAAGGTAACTGTGCTGCTAAGGAGCAGCGGATGCCCTGGGAGCGAGTGTTGATAGATTTCCACATGAATTCAGATCCCTACCAAGAAGTTGCAGTTCCTGTGAGCTCTCACCCGTTACTGTTATAACAGCACCAGATATATGTTCATGGTGTTGCACAACTTCTTCCAAGTTAAAACGTATGGTGAGGGTGTCAGCTTGGAAGGGAAGTGGTAAAGCAGCATCTTCACTGGCTGTGGGTGCTGTTGCATCTCCTGTGCTTCCACTGCTTACTGGTTTATGAAACACCAGAACTGCCTCGGGAGTATCTCACTGGTAAAAATTGAGCTATGAGGGGAATATGCAAAGAAAAGAAAGTTTGAAAAGCAGAAATGTATTTCATACAAGGGTTTTACGGTCTTTGTCAAGTGCAGATGTGTCAAAATGATTCCACTGGAAACTTTATATAAAATGGTTAATGTAAAGGGGTTCTTGCAATCCTGGCATCTCCTTCCCCTCTCTCAAGAGCTGTTGTAGCTCATGACAGCTCTGTTCTGCATACTGGGAACATCAGCAGCTGGAAATTATCATTTGTTACTCTTACTCTTTCTGTAACTTGTTTCAGAGATTCTACTGGTAATGAGGGCTTTTGCCCTTTTACCTTTGGGACAGCTTGGAATTCCTCTCAGAGCCAGAAATCACTGAATTATAACTAGTAGGGAAAAAATGTAGCATTTAGTACGGTATTCAGACGAGTTGTGGGCATTCCTTAAATTCCTTCAGAGGACAGTCAGAGGGACAGACGTGTCATTGCAGCTCGGGGCTCTCTTTCACCATTGCTCTGCTATTGCATGATGCTCTTCTTAAAAACTCCCCCTTGCTTATTTACCTTTCTAAAGATTTTACCTAAGAGTTCTCAGCTGCCTTTTGGACTTACGGTTACTCTCTAATGAAATTGCATCCCTTTCTTCAGGGCTGGGCTGCTGTGTGCAGGTCTGACCATCCCTGACTGCCCATTGCAGTTCCTAAGCCTTCACCACATGGTGGAAGGCAGCTTTCTCCAAGAAGGGGGGGTGGGGGGGAGGATCTGGAATCTGTGAATTTAGGATACTCAGCATCTCTCTGGTGGGTTCTGGGGCATTTACTTTGGTTACGCCTTTACTGGACAGAGGGTTTTCCTGGTGGCTCTTTGCCTTCTCAGGGAGGTGGGAGGAGTACTTTTTCTCTTCTTCCCTGGCTCACACAAACTGTTTCCATGAAAAGCCTGAGATAAATTGAATCCATACATAGTTACCAGAGAGACCATAGTGATGGTGTCAGTCCTACTCTGCCAGCACTCCCTCTATGCCAGGGGAGTTCTTAGGATAAAAAGGGTGAGATAGAAAAAGCCTGTCAGCTACAGCCAGTGACAGCCAACACGGTGACCTTTCCTTCCTTGTGTTCCTCAGTGTTGTGTTCGCCCCCCTCCCGATGGCTCTGTCTGTACTCTTGGGCAGCACAGCATGCTGGGGTCATTATTCCTCAGATGTTTAGACCTAGGATGCATCCTGGCTCTTGTGTGCCTCTGCGGGATCTCCTTCCAGAGGGGAGAGGATGCATGTTCATGCCTTGTCCTCAGGACATGACCAGTGTGCCCAACCCTCCGGTGGGACAGCAGCGAGGTGGCACTGCCAGCAGGGACCCCGCTGTCACCACAAGCCCCCCTTTGCCAAGCAGCTCTTACTCAGCACTTTATTCCTACTGATGTCAAGGGTGCCTGTTTAAGGAGCAAATGAATCCGCCACAGGAATCTCCTGTGTTGGGATTACATGTGCTATTAATAAAAATTGCCTTCAATTTCTAAATTGAGGCACTTAAAACCCACAATGAATGCATTCTGCATTAATGAAAAACCCAGCATCTTTTTTGCTGAAATTTAAATAGACCCATGAACTTATGCATCATGCATGCTATTTTAAAACTGTAAATCTATTCCGCTTTTTCCATTGTGGTTGTTTTCATATTCCATTATGTTCTTACATAGGCAAGTCTTTGGTCTTTTAATATAAAGGATTTTATGTTTCCAGGCGCAGGTTTTCAGGCCCAGCTCAGTAGGCTTGGTAAGAATCTAGTTTTCAGACACTCTTTTTCTATGGTACAAGATTAAAGAGGAATTGAAGAAAGTTTTAAGGCACCGAGGCATCAAGAAATTATTGCTAACTTCTATAAATTTAGATTAAGGTGTTCTAAATATTTGGCTTTTAATGAAAAACAACAAGAAAACAGGAATATAAGCAAATTATTTCCTGTAGTTTCTGATTTTGAGACTAACAGACTGTGTAAGGCCAAATGTGGTGTTATGCCATAGATCACAAACACGGCCTGAAACTGAATGATAAATAGTGTAGGCAATGTAAAGGCATGCTAAAAGCCCAAAGCTATTTTGAATTCTGTTAGGAAATGTACTCATCTGTGTTCCAAAGAATATCTCTTTTCCATAGCAATGAAGGAGAATTTCTCTACAGGCTCCACTCTTCCATACTTTTTCCTGTGCTGTCCCTTGTGCTTAGAAGGTCCCTACAGGCCACAGAGCTATTGCATTTTCTGTTAAAATCCACATAAAAGATTTCTTTGATTATTATTAAATATTTGATGTTTGTTGTGATGCTGATTTGCTCTGGCCATTACCTTTCCTATTAACCAGTGCTCTCTCTTTATTTCCTTCTGGTTTCCATGCCTCTAGTTTAATAATGAGGCTGACAGTTGTCTGGGAGAAGGGCTATATTTTTGATGGATGTTTGTATAGAGCTTGTCATTATGGTGCTTGGTTTCTGACTGTGGATGTCAAATAATAATGATGTTTCCAATTCTTTCAAACTCCAGCTCTGTAACTGTTTCAGAAGTTCTCTTCTAAATACTTAGAAGCAAATTATTATTCTAGCAATACTTTCCACATCAGTTATGATTTCTTTTAATAATCTAAGAGCTTTTTCCAACATTCCTCACAAGCGCTGTGTTACGCCGGCATTATTTTAGTGATTTAAAGCCCAAGACCTAACAATACAGAGATCTGCTCCAGATGTCTGAATAAAACTGCACAGTGCAACCACTGAAACTCAAGCGCTGCTGCTGGGCAGGGAGCGCCTTGCAAATGAGAGGCAGGACAAGCGTTACAACATGCGTCTTCTAATACCTGGCATATGCCTTCAGTGTCTTTAGTGTTATTTCCTTAGGGTATTTACCTATCTCATACTTACAGGATGCTCTTGTCTTAGTGTAGGAAATTACGTAAACATCAGAGGCATTAGAGCACTGTCATCGATAAACATCCCTAATTAGTGAAACCCTCTTGTCGCTGGTTCATCACTGTATCTTCTCTCTACTGTTAAGTTAATCTCTTTCTATTTCCTAAGTGGAAATCAGGATCTACTTCTGTATTAAGCCAGTCTCTAATCCTTGTACCCAGCTAAACATAACCAAAGTCTATTTATATATTGGGCTATCCCCAATTAAACAGAAAAATACTATAACCTAGTTCAGACGTTGGGTAACACTGAGTATTAAGAGTGGTTATTTATATCGTTAAGATCTTTCAGACTTGCTGTGTTAAATAAAAGCTTGGACTAAGCTTTTTAATGCTTGCTGTCACAGCCACATGGGCTTGAATTTGGAGCAATGTGATGATGACCCCCAAATTTGCTGGCTTGGCTGTGATCTCCTGCATGTTCCCTGTCTGGGATGGTGGCTGAAGTCCCTGGCTTGCCTGAGCACTACAGGAGGCGGCTCCTATGGCAGCTGTGAGTGTTTTGATGTGGTTTTGAACTTGGCAGCTCCTTCCCTCCACTGCAGCCAGCGAAGTGACACCAAGCAGGAGGTTCTGTTCAACCTGCTCAGGAATCTGTCCACGTATGCTGGTGTTTGATAAATCAGTTTTTCCCCAGATGCAATAAGTACAGTTTGTGCATTAAAACAGGTGAGTTTTGGGAACTTGCTGCTCTGTTTGCAGGCAAGTATACACTCCACAGTGCATCATGGAAAGGCAATAATTAAAGTAGTGACGCAGAATTAAAATAAACAAAAATGTTACTACCAGGTGATTTGTGCAGCTCTAATGAAAGTAGTAATTAATATTGGAGACAGTGCATTACATTTGACTGTGCAAGGCACTATATCTCAATTTCTCATGTTTAAGCTTGGGGTTATTCTGTCTTTTGCTTAGCTATACAATGCAGACAGCTGGTGTGGCTTCCAGTCTTTAGTCATGGCTGCTTGTCACTGTCACTGGGTTCTGTTTTTCTAGAAAGAATAAATATATGTGACTGCTGCTTCCATTGTTTCTGGACTAAGCCAGGGCCAGGTGGCTGCTTCTCCTAGTACTGGGTGCTAAAATGGTGAAGGTGGAGCAGCATCTTCAACAGGGGACTATGCTACATGCTGCTGCCCCTGAGAAATCACTGGCATGGTCTGGAGGTGAAATTAGAGCTGTGGGCCCAACAGCAGAGTGCTGCCAAGTACATTCAGGATATGTATACATGAAATAGCTCACTTCCCGCACATCGTGTGTTAGCAATCTGCCCTTTCAATTACAGGACTTTCTTATTGCACTTTTCTGACATTCAGGAACTTTTCCCCTCACCATGGAAAGTACTTTCCAGTGTTCTTTAGACACGGAAAATAAAATAATCTGAAAACCAGCTGCTTGCAAGCTGTGTATGTCCTTCACAGAATGTTACATTTCCTCTCCGACATCTCCAGAGCTTGACTGCTCCTTGCCTGGAGAAAAAGTAATTTCATCTCGTCTCAACCCTCCTCTCATCCCAGGTGAAATCTTGTTAATGCTGGCTGTCCTCATCTCCACATCCTCACTTTCTTTCAGTTCTACAGACTTCGGGCCTGAAGTTGGTCAAATGTACAGGTTCTCTTTTCTGTTGAACAAGGACTGCACATGAGTTTGTATATTTTGCTCCATGATGTGACCCTGTGAACAGAGCAGCTGGTACTCACTTCAGGTAGAGCCAGCCAGAGCTAGGACACCCAGAGGGAAACTTCTGTTTTCTTTTGGAAAGCTGGAGAAAGGCCTCCCTGCCTATAGTCTAGGTAAAAAGCCATAATAATTATGCTACTGATGGTTGAGGAATGCTTTGGAAAGCCGAAGTGATGGAGCTCTTAGGTTTCTCCTAGCTGTTTTGGGCTGAGGAGACCTAGCTCCTTAATATAGTCACATTACTGTAAACAATATGAAACTGAGGCACTGGGAGCTGAGAGCCTAAGGACTTCCAAAGAGAGCACTTTTCTGGGATCCTGGGGCTATAGAAAACTGCAGTTAATGTAACATCTTCAAATAGGAGACGGTGCTGTACCTGCATGGTCCCAGGAAAGCTGTTCTGAGAGTAGGAACTCTCTCTTTTTGTCTCTTGGCCTCTCTTCCTATCCTCACTTTTTTCTAATTCAGTTAGGTGAACAAGTTAAGAAGTTCTATACACCAGGTGTTGTATATGTTATATATTAATAGTGTGGTTAATCAGAAAATAATCCAAAGGTGCTGTTGAAGGCCTTCTGCAATGTGAGGGCAGAGAGCAGGGAGAATCTAGGATCACAAAAGCAGTAGATATGGTCTGTCCTTTGTGTGAAGTGTGAGAAGCATCCAGGCCTGTATATTGTACAGGTTTTGCTGAACCAGCAACACGTGTGTATATGGGGCAGAAGTCTGATGCCATGTGGACCATCATGAAAGTCCATGTGGACTTCCACTGCTGTTTTCCCTTTACATAATTTGAACATGTTTCTAAATTTCAATTAGGCTTGATTTTCACTTATTTTAAGGGTGACTTCTGATATATATACCAGTGTGGGCGGAGAAGGAGGCCTTTCATAACAGCAGGTATTTGAAGATGTTCAGGTAAGCTGTCAGTTTTTTCATGTGATCCTCCAATCATAGAATCATAGAATAGTTAGGGTT